AAGCCCAGCCCCCTCCCCAGCCTAGCAAAGCCTCGCATTCTTACCCACCACCTACTCCCTTCTCTCCAGAAAGCACAAACAGGAACTCATTATCTTCCTCCTCAAAACCTCCCCATCCCTCACTCTTTGTCATGGTTAAAAATACCACCCTCGTCCTCCTTACAGGTGAGCACCATTGTCCCCTCCTGGAGTGTGCCCCACCACTAGCCAACAAGCTGTGTTTGTTCAATCTCCCAAGTCTCTCCTGCTCATCCTTGCCTTCTAACTTACTTGGGCCAAAATAGCTTCTCATGCGATCTCTTTCCAGTCATTAGGGCTGAAGTCACTTTTTATTCATCTACTTTTGATCCTCCAGAGCATTTTTTTTTTTTGAGATAGGGCCTCTCTCTGCTGCTAGGACTAGAATGCATTGATGCAATCACAGCTTATTGTAGCCTTGAGGCTCCAGCGATCCTCCCACCTCAGCTTCCCAAGTAGCTGGAACTAGATGCATGTACCATCATGTCTGGCTAATTTTTAAATTTTTTGTAGAGATGGGGTCTTGCCATGTTGCTCAGGCTGGTCTCAAACTCCAGGGCTCAAATCATCCTCCTGCTTTGGTCTCCCAAAGTGTTGGGATTACAGGCATGAGCCACCTCACCTAGCCCAGAACATGATTTTCATAAGGAATTAAACTCAGGGGTTTAAACAGAAGAATCCACCTAGCTCCTAGTCTGTGATGCCAGGATATTCACATGGTTCTTAGAGTTCTTCACCTTGCCCTTGGCTCTCTCCTTCAGCAGACAAGTTGGCCTCTTCCAGGCTAGGGCTCGTGCCCCCAACCCATTCTAGTTCCCATCTCCTTTCATCAATGAACATCCCTTCCTCTCAATCTCCCCTACCAACCCAGATGCTTGCCTGCCCACACATCTTTAAAGAAGCCTCCACCCTTGCCTCCCACTTGCTAGACAGCCACATTTTTGAAAAGAGTTGTCCACACTTGCCGTCTCCCACTCACTCCTCAACCCACCGCAATCTGGCTTCCAATCCCTCCACTCCATCAAGACAGCTCTGGCAAAGTTATCAGCCCTCTCATTGTCAAATGAAACGAACACTTGCTTTCCAGTCCTTTCTTGATGAAATTTCCTGCGACATTTGTGAGTATTGCTCATTCTCTCCTTCTAAAAGCAATTTCTTCCCATGTCCCCTGGTTCTCCTTCTGGTTCTCTTCTTCTCATTATTCACATTCCCAACAGCTTGAACTGTCAAGAAAGGCAGTGCAGGGTGGTGAAGAGCCTAGGTTCCAATGCTCCTTGATATGGTTTGGCTGTGACCCCACCCAAATCTCATCTTGAATTCCCACATGTTGTGGGAGGGACCCATTGGGAGGTAATTGAATCATGGGGGAAGTCTTTCCTGTGCTGTTCTCGTGGTAGTGAATAAGTCTCACGAGATCTGATGCTTTCAAAAAGAGGAGTTCCCCTGCACAGCTCTCCCTCGCTCTCTGCCTGCTGCCATCCATGTAAGATATGACTTGCTCCCCCTGTCTTCTGCCACTATTGTGAGGCTTTCCCAGACGTGTGGAACCGTAAGTCCAATTAAACCTCTTTCTTTATTAATTTCCCAGTTTTGGGTATGTCTTTATCAGCAGCCTGAAAACAGACTAATACACTCCTCTACTCACTAGTGTTTAGCCTGGGGCAAGTTATTCAACACGCCTGTGCCTCAGTTTCCTCAACTGTAAGATGGTGCAAGGCTTTTTTGTCTCATTGTTTTCCATGTCTGAATATGATTCATGTTCTCAGATCATGCTGAACCTGGTAGAGTTGCCCACATATATTGTGTGCTCACTCTCAGTCTCTGCTCAGTGGGGGTACCCAGCCAGTATCTGCAAATATATGCATGAACACTCCTCTGGATTGGATTTCCCCAGAAGTATACTTTGAGACAAAGAGATGGGTGCAGTTACTTTGCTTGGGATCCTAAGGACAAATAAGGAAGTGAGAAAGTAAGGCAGGGAAGGAAAAGAGGCAAATCAAAGAGTGACTTAATGAGGGAGTGACTGCTGGGGGCAACTAGACTCAGTCCTACTGGGGATCCTCTGAGGAACTGCCTTGAGGGCATTTGAGAATTGTTCTTTAGGAAAGGGGAGGCTGACACATTCGTCCACTGTTTGGTTAAGGACTGCCCCAGGGCTGTTGGAAACTTCCAGGTTAAACAAGATCCCACAGCCCTGGAGAAAGCCTCCTGGCAGAGAGGAAGAGGGATACCTGCTTTGGGTAGACAGTTCCTCTACAGAGGGCAGCTCATTGCAGGTGCTGGTGAGCTCAGAGATGGTCCCAGCGGACATGGAGCCAAGTATCACCAACACTTGTGCTTGTTAGACTGCTTGGCAGCCCTGTGCCCTCTTATGAAGCTACATAGGTCCTATCTCTTTCTTGAAAGTTAGTTCAAGAGTACCCACTTCTTGGAAGCATTTTCCAACTTCTCTCCACCCTACTCCACCCTCGATGCTCTGAATAGCCCTATATACCCTGGACATGACTCTCTAAGAGTACATATATCTCTGCTAGCTTTCTTGTCTTTCTCAGCAAGAATAATTCTTTTTCATCATTGCAGATGTAGCACCCAGAGTTTTTAGCACATTGTGGGCACTTAACTGATGCCTTAAAATGCATTCAAGTTCACCTTGCTCAGGGACCCCCTCAGAGCAAGTGGTCAACAAATGTGGACTCCCTTTCCTTCATCTGATTTAGGGGAGCGGTCATCTAGTGAATATATAATGAGATAAATATGTTCTTCAAACAGAAATGCCAAGGAAGCACAAAGGAGGGCGTAATTAACTGGGACTGTACCAATGAGACTACAGTTACTTCATCTGACAGTCTTAATTACTATGGTTATTATTATTGTTATTTTTTGAGACGGATTCTTGCTCTGTTGCCCAGGCTGGAGTGCAATGGCGCAATCTCGGCTCGCTGCAACCTCTGCCTCCCAGGTTCAAGCGATTCTCCTGCCTCAGACTCTCAAGAAGCTGGGATTACAGGCACCTACCACCATGCCTGGCTATTTTTTTTGTAGCTTTAGTAGAGATGGTTTCACCACGTTGGCCAGGCTGGTCTTGAACTCCTGACGTCAGGTGATCCACCTGCCTCGGCCTCTCAAAGTGCTGGGATTACAGGTGTGAGCCACCATGCCCGGCCTACTTATAGTTTTAACTTTCCAGAAGCACTAATAGAGGCATCTGGTGCTTCTCCCATTGCACTGGGCATTCCGTTTTGAATCTCTCCACCAAAGAGGAAGCTACAGGAAGCTGTGGGTCAGAGTGAACCACCCTACCTCAGCTGGGGGTCCTCTCTGCAACTTGAGTTTGTTTGCTTCTTTCATGTATTCAGCACGTGTTTATCGATGGTCTCATATGGGCCAGCACTGTTCTAAGGAGACAGGCAGAGGTCCTGCTGTAACGCAGTTTACCCATGCAGTGGCGAGAGTGGAGGGCAGATAAAAAATAAGCAACCAATCACGTAGGCGACATTAAATAGTGACAAGGGCTATGAAGCAATCAAACAGGATGCGCTATGTTTGGGAGAGGTGGAGGTGGGGTGTAGGTGCCAGAGACAAGTAGATCACATGGCTGGGGAAAGCCTCTCTGCGGAGCTGACTTCTGGGCTGTGAGCTGTGTGCCAAAAACAGCCGTGCAAGGATTCTTCCAGGCAGAGGGGATGGCAGCTGCAAAGGGCCTGGAGCAGGACCCAAGGACTCCTGGTGCCCAGCCCAGAGCTCATCCTGCTGCTACTGATCACGGAAAGAGAACTGCAGAAAGGGAACAATGCTGGGTCTAAAACTGCTATCTGTTCCTTACTTGGAAAAAACAAGCTGGTACCCAACTTTCAGTTCCCAGCAGGTTCATTTCAGGCTTCTGTTTTCGCTCATGAGCATGTTGTTCCCTCTTCAAAGTCTGATTGGGTTTCAAAGGAATCTGAAACACTTACAGCAAAACCACCAAGCTGTATCCTCCAGGTAGACACCCCCCAAATGTGGCATTTCCGTGGGAAACCACAATGAATCACTCATTGGCCACCCGGCCTCTCTGCCCAGTCAGACATTGATTTTGGTTTTCCCAAACGTTGTAAAGCATCTCCAGACAAATAACAACCCCCACTCCCCACCATACCCCGACTCTCAGATTAAGAGCAAAATCCCAAATTTTGTGAGGTTTTCTGTTTCAGATTTCACCAGAAGGGGGTCTGCTACAGCCACTAACCATTTCCTCTGCAGAGAGCAGTGTCTGAAATGCTGCAAAGAAAAATATCCACCCAGTAATTAGGAGGGAAATGAAGTTCTAAGGAAAGTTCTGTCTCTGACTTTGAAAGTAGACATAGATATGAACAATACACATCCCACAAATTAAAACCCTTTCTCTGGTGTCTTTTAATGGTAATCATAAGGACAACCATGCCTATCATTTATTTGGGTGTTTCCAATGTGCCAGTCCCTCTGTAAACATTCGGTTTCCAGATCAAACCTATGAGAGTGGAATTAGCATCCATTTCATATTTAAGAAAACTGAGGCTCAGGGAAGTTGAGTGAGTTCCTCAAGGTAACACGGGTAGAAAAAAGGCCATATTCCAAACGGACACAGAGCCTGCAGTCCACACTATTGCTATTCATACTGTTCCTGTACAATCCCGACTGGAAAGGTCCCGTTCCCCTGGCACTGGACAAAAATGAGGAAAATTTAAGAGCAGAGAGGAAGTGGTGAAAGCCTGCTGAAGTCACTCCTTTACTGAAAATAGGGGTAACGGCCAGGACAGTGCAGGTCCATCCTCTGCAGATGGAAGACAGGCACGACCTTTACCGCTGTCCCGGCCTTAGAAAGGCACCTTCCGCGTCCAGGGTTTTCTGCGGCTAAATCCCACCCCTTCCACCTCTGGCGGGGAGGAGGCCGGCCGGCCGGGGCACGGGGCGGAAGGTCCCGTGCAGGACCCCCCGCCCGCGCCCCGCGCGCGGCTGCCGGCGGGCCAAGGGTTAAGCGAGGCGGGAGCCCCCGGCGCGCAGCGGCTCGGGCCCGGGAATGCTTAGTCAGGATTCCGATTTCCTGTCGAAGTGTTTGGATTTCCTGAAACCCGCGCCCTCCGCCGCTGAGCGGGATCGTGCGAGCAGCTCGCGTCGCCGCGGCCTCCTCCCCCTCGGCACATGGTCGCCCGCCCCTTCCTGCGCCGCGCTCGGCTCCCGCGCCTCGCCTGGCCTGGCCCTTCGCCGCCGCGGGCGAGCTCTCTGCGCCGGGCAGCCCCGGGCCCGCGCTTCCCGCTCCGCCGGCGCCTCTAGGTCGCCGTTCGCTTTCCCACCCGAGAGCCTCGAGCGCCCGGCCGAGCCCGCGATGGAATAATGCCCAGCGGCCCGCCCGGTCCCGGTGAGTTGCGGGGCGCCCGGACGGGCTCGGCGGGGCCGGGCGGAGTGGCTCACGAGTGCGGGCGCCCCCTGCCCGGTCCCTGGCGCGAAGAGGGGCTCCGGGACGGGGCGCCGGGCGGGCTCCGGCTCCTCTTGCCGCGGGGTGTCCTTCTCCGCGGGGAGGGCGCCGGCCCGGGGCTGGGGCGTGTGCGGGGCGTGCGGCCAGGCTCTGCAGGGCCGGGCGAGGCCGCCCGGTGGGTGGGGGGGTGTCTCCGCGCCTGCAGCCCCAGGAGGGGGTCCCTGCCGTGGGGGCGGGGAGGGGGTCCGTCCTGGGAGGGCTTCGCGTCCTGCTCCGGGGGAAGGCCCGGGACGACGCGCCTGGCGGCCGGGACTCCGCGATGGGGCGCCCTCCCGGCATTGTCTGGCGCGGCCGAGGAAAGTTTCCCGCGGCCCCCAGCCCCTGCCCGGACCCGGCGCTGCCTGGCAGGCCCCAGGCCACTTGCCTAAAGCAAAAGAAGCGAAACCAAAGGGAAGGGGGATAAAAGTCCCACTTCGAGCTTGGTGTTTGCTCCAGGTGGAGCGTGAAGCGGCGTGTGTTTTCCGCTTGTACCATTTTGGGACCTGCTGCGTTTTCTGAGAGCGACTTGAAGTTTCAAAGAAAAAAGAAACTTGCTGGTGCCCAGTATTTCTGCGGTTTGATACATCCCAAGAGTTCATCTTGGGCACTTCTAAAGCGGTTTCCTTTAGTAATGCGGTTTTCCAGTAGCTCAGGGAGGCGGATGGTCAACTGCAGACCATCATCCTTAACCTGACCTCAAACTTTACCTGTACTCATCAGGAAAGAAAAAGAACTCCCTCCCGCATTTCCCTGTCTACTCAGTGAGATTATCTTGGTGTGATTGATTCTGGGATGACATCAGGACCTGGATTGCTGAGTAATGTTTTGGGATTGTAAAAGATTGTTCAGTTTTTAGGCCAGGGTTATCGCCTATTGCAACCTTCACCCCAAAGCCTTTCTGTTTTGCAATTTTGCATTTGTAGCTCCGCCAGATAGCTTTAAGAAAATGCAGGTTTTCTGGAAACACCCAGTCAACAGTTTAGAAAGAAGAAGATCTTGGAGAACAACTGATTCTGCCCCTTCTGAGGAGGCCTTTCTCGAAAGGTGACCTGACTTGCCCAAGGTCATGTGACCAGGAGTAATTTCCACTTCTTCAAACTCAGTCCCGTGCTCCTTCCACTGTGTTAGATTTTGATCTGTTAGCCATGAAACAGATTTGGAAACATGTCTTCTTTGCATCATAACCTTAACCATTTTAGTGCCTTCTCTTCTGTCCTGTCTGTTAATGCTATTTTTAAGAAATACACTTATCTGAAACTGCATATTCTGAGATAGGAAGCTAAAAAAAAATCACCTAACCCCTACTGTTCAGCCAGTAAATGGATTTGGAGGTTCAGCTACCAAATGGATTTGAAGTATAAAATGAGTAGCTTATTATATGGGGAATTATTTTTCTCTATCCCATTCTTTTGTGAAAAATGGAAATTCCCAGGTCCAAAAAAGGGCAGTATCTTAGCACATAATGGACCCTATGATGTTCTCTAGACTTGATTTTCAGCCCTCCTGTTTCTTATGAGCTAAGCAGCCCATCTATTTTTCTCATGAGAGCTCTGAATGGCTGGTTTTTCATTTTTAGTATGTGATAATATTGGAGAGAAAGGACTTTTCGCAAGCTTGCCATTTGGCGAGGGAAATTGAAATTCTCTACACCTCCCCAGTCCTCACCAGCCACAGTGAGCCAGATTTTCAAAATCAGTGCAAGCCTGGCGGGCCCAAAGATGAATGTGTGCATTCAGATTGAGCCCTGCCTCATGAGGACTCATGTCCTGGCTGGCATCTCCACGCTGCACCTAGGTGGATGAAGTCTAGAGGAAAGAAGAGAACCCCAGCTAGCTAAGACAGTGTTGTTTCTGCCATTTCCCCACACAGGTCTCTGTCGTATTTGGATCCTGCTGCTCTGTTCTTATTTTCCCCTCTCCTTTCTTTACCCAGCCACTGCTGTATCTGGCATGGGCTCCAGAAGGTTCGCTTTCTTTCTTTCTTTCTTTCTTCTTCTTTTCTTTCTTTCTTTCTTTCTTTCTTTCTTTCTTTCTTTCTTTCTTTCTTTCTTTCTTTCTTTCTCTTTCTTTCTTTTTCTTTCTTTCTTTCTTCTTTCTCTCTTTCTCTCT